ACAGAGGCAGGAGGACTGCTGTGAGTTTGAGGATAGCCTGGGCTACATAGTGAGTACCAAGCCAACCAAGGTTACATAACAAGTCCCTGTCTCAAAACAAAGCAAAGACTGGGCATGGTGCCACAGGCCTTTAAATCTCAGGACTCAGGAGGCAGAGCCAGGTGGGATCTCTGAGTTCAGGCCAGCCTGGTCTACATATAAGACCTTGTCTCAAAACAAATGAATAAACCCAAAACAACAGCAACAAAAGCGAAACATAAACAAAACAATAATAACAACAAAACTTTGAAATTGCCATGACTCGTGTCTATATGAAAGGCAGAGATCCACTTTCTAGTCTCTTTGCCTTTCCTTGGCAGCCCCACCTTGCCGAGGAGGCCAAAGTCTGTGAAGGAAGAGAGTTGTTTTCTTCATTAGTAGATATTACTGAATTAAGTTAAGTGTCTGTGACAACAGGTGCAGCCCTTCTGTGCTATCCTGGGCCACTAGTCTATCCTAGGTCTGTCACTGTGATGAGAAAAACGGGATGTCACACACTAGGAGGATAGACACGGCCCCAAGTGATTATAAAACAAGGTTGAATAAAATGTGTCCACACAGGCTGTGTGCACCGGGATGTAAGAATGCTCCTAACCCCTTTGTGGAGGTCCCCCTCTGATGAACTCAGCCCTGGTACTAACTTGCAAAGCAGCCCCCCGAGCATCTGACCCTGACATTCATCGTTGCAGGGATACTCCTTCGTGGCACCGTCCATCCTCTTCGACCACAACAATGCAGTGATGACTGATGTGCTGGAGGCACCTGGTGCTGGGCATAGGCCTGGCAGGGCAGCAGTAGCCAGGAGTGCCATGATGCAGGTGGGCTGGCCTGGGATGGAGATGGTATTGGCTTTTTGGAGTCCTCAGGGTGGGGGGGATTCTGGCCTGGTTGCTGGTGGTATGACTTGGGTGTAGGCCATTGGCCATAACACGACCACCCAGCTCCAGGGTGAGAATCTGACTGCCCCACCCCCTTGCCTCCAGGACTCGCCCTTCTTCCAGCAGTATGAGTTGGACCTTCGGGAGCCTGCCCTGGGTCAGGGCAGCTTCTCTGTGTGTCGGAGATGTCGCCAGCGCCAGAGTGGCCAGGAATTCGCTGTCAAGATCCTCAGCCGCAGGTGGGAGCCGGCTTTGGGCAGGACCCACAGAGAAACCTGGGGATAAGGGCCTGGTAGGTCACTGTAACCCCTCCTGCTTTGTCCCTAGGCTGGAGGAAAACACACAGCGCGAGGTGGCTGCCCTTCGCCTGTGCCAGTCACACCCCAACGTGGTGAATTTGCATGAGGTGTTTCATGACCAGGTGACTGACGCTTGTTAGGGGCGGCCTGTGGAGTGGGGGATGGGAGAGAAGGCGACCCTAGAAGCAGGATCTGCGGGGCGTAGGACCCGAGGACTGTGGGATACTGCTGAGGATGGAGGAGAAATGCAATGTGAGGAGAACACCCAGGAAACAGAGCTTAGGGGACTGGGAGTAAAATTGGATAAAGAGGTCCTGGAAAGCAGTTAGTGGGTGTGTGTGTCCAGAAGTGGAATTTGCGGGCTCCAGAGAAACTGAGGCCCGCAGGTGGTGGTGGTGACCCGCCGCGTCTTCCGCAGTTGCACACTTACCTGGTCCTGGAGTTGCTGCGAGGAGGGGAGCTGCTGGAACGCATCCGTAAGAAGCGGCTCTTCAGCGAGTCGGAGGCCAGCCAGATCCTGCGCAGCCTGGTGTCTGCTGTGAGCTTTATGCACGAGGAGGCGGGTGTGGTGCACCGCGACCTCAAGCCGGAGGTGGGCGCTGGGCCCAGGCGGCGGGGCAGGACTGCCTGGCACCTGCACC